CTTGCTAACTAGGTCAGCTATGCTAACAAATAAGCTAAGCATTGAAGAAGGATAATATAATTTTTCAGTTGCAAATTCCTGCACTTAACACATTTCCCCTCCTTTTTTCCATGTTGATTCTAGATAGATCCGATTAGGTTTATCAAGGACCGTCATCATGGTCACGCTGATTCTGGAAAATTTATGCTGACATCAACATAGCAGTGATGGTCCTGAACAACATAAGCAGCACTACCCAGGATCAACATGTCAAAGATGGTCCTGTATCAGTAATAACATATTATCAAGGGTCAACATGGCAGTAATGGTGCAATCTTGCAAAAAAACATTGAAAAAAAGTTTTGTGCCATCCGTGCTGCAGACACGTTTGGATGATTAATTCATTATCCAGCCAGTTCATGCAAGTGCAACAGACTTGTTCTCAAGTGGAGACTTTCCCCAGTTGTCAGTAAATTAAACTATTGTTGTTTTTGCCAAAACGATTGAGGGAAAACATGCGAGCTGTGCTGAGCAGATGATCTTGACACTTAACCATCTGAGGAATAATGTGGATTTGAAACAATGGATGGAAAAATTGTGCATAAAAAGTGAAGTTGTTTGCTGTCTTTACAAAATACAGTTGCCATAGACTAACATTAGCTTGTTGGTCGAACAAATCAGCAGAAGCACCACCAAATGAAAGTCAATTCTCCAATGTAGTTTAGGATAGACTACATGCATTTGAGTTCTCATCCCAGGTTGTCACATATCGTCGCTTTGTCAGAGGACTAACATGTCTACATATTACATGCTAGGTATGCTTCTGCGTCTGCTGTTGATGTCCCAGGATGCCTCAACCAATGCTGGGACATTAATAAAAGCACGTTTTAGGTTTGGCCCTGCATTCATATGGACAGTGAACAACAGGCTCCTGGGTGAAAGTCCGGGGTTGATTGGACCCATCCTTCACCCCTGCGAACTTTCCTGCTCCTTACATTACGTCGTTACCAGCAGTGTTCCAAATTGACGCCATCCTGTGGTGTATCATACCGCCGCAACAGGTGCTGTCCGGCTATATAATGAACTGACGTCACCATGTATCATACTGCCGCAACAGGTGCCCTCCAGCCAACTGGCGGTGTATCATAATGCCGCCAAGGATTAAATCTGGCTGCATTACATACTGAAGCTGCCCAGTGGCGTATCATACCACTGCAAAAGTGGGGTTTTGGTGTTGGTGTCCGATGCCGGAATCGCTGACAAAGTTGCGACATTTGACAACTTTGGGCTGTGACATCAGTCTAGGTTTTCAAGATTGTTTTTGTCAGATGTGGACATAAGATAATTCTAAAAAAAAACCCTTGAAAGCCTCATTCTGACAGCAAATACATGAAAAGGTGCCATGAAAAGGGCCAAAATAAACAGTGAGAGGCCCAGAGATATTTAAAGCAAATGTAGAGGAGTAATTACTGCATCTTTTATCACACTGGGTATCCCTAAATAGTTTTGTTGTATGGAAGGGGGCCTGTGTTTATTATCCGAGGCATGGAAGAGAAAGGCACCGCTGGAGGGTTCATTATTTGGGTTAGCTGCATTTTTCACTGTTTATTATGAGGTTTTAATTGTGGTCTGGCTGCGTTCGCCTGAGGAGCACAAGAGTAAGCAGAGCGAGGGAGAGAGGAATGTCAGAGACAGCAACTTCTCTGCAGGACGCGAGGCTGCGCCGGGAGTCCCGTGAACCTGCCTTACCCCTGGATTGGATTTCAGCAGTGATATGAGGAGTAAAAAGTGGGGGAGGATGTTCAAGCGTCCAGATCTATGCACGACCTGAATGTCTCACTCACTGGTTTATTTTCTTGATTCAGTTAGTTCCAGCTTTAAATAATTAACAGGTCTTCACATCTGGGAGAATCCAGACTAAGAGACTAACCTTTTGGCCACCCAGCAGGTGCCAAACCACCTGCACCTCCTTCCCCTTTGAGACACCACTCTTCCAGTCTTCTATAACTCTTCATTCATCTTTCTGGCTGCTTTGGAAAGAGCCCAAACTCCTTAAATTCTTCCCTCAGTAAGGACTTCCAGTGTTTATGGGAGAAATGAGCCTCCACCTTGGGTCCTAAGAGTCTCCCTACATCTGGTGCTCACCCCTGCCGAACTTTCCCCTGCAGCCATGAGGGAGTTTAACCTCCCCCTCCTTAGCTCAGAATAATTTCTCACTCAAAAACAAAAGGTGCATCTACTCGTTGCGCCCTGGTGTTTTAGGCTCAGATGCTCAATCAAAGCTGGAATGTAAATTCACACCTTAAAGTTTGCCGCTTAGCTTTGAACAAACATCCTCCTCTTTCCTCATAAATCCACCTCAATGTATCCCAGGGTCATAGTAACACAGTGAAACACACACATTCGCCTCATCATACGGATAAACATTCATTAGGAATAAAGTCCAGAGCCTCTTAAAGAATTAGTGCGCTGCAAAGTAAAACTCTCCATTTATGGTCCTCCCCGCGGTGAACACAACTACAGTGACGACCACAAATCAAATCTAATCAGCACTCTGAAAGGGAATCGAGCATTTCCAGGATTACAGGGATTGGCTCATTTTCAGCGCAGCCACCTCTGACCTTTTAAGCTGGCTGTTTGGAAACACCGGAGGTGCAAGGAGTGAGTGAACAGTGTGATTTGAGTGGTCAACACCAAAGATATGGATCTTTCTTTCACAGCCCAGTCGCTAGAGGAAAAATAAATAAGTTACATTTGTACATTTTATATGTATCTTATCAACATTTCTAAAATGAGATTTGTATCAGCTAACTTTGTCATCTGGGGGTTGAAGGGATGGTGTATGACATAACATCAACAAGATGCAGAGCACTGTTGGGGACTAACAAATGACCAAACCAGTCATTTCTGCATTTACAGCAGCCTTTTATGCACCAAATGTTGGTTTTTATTTCTACCCACAGCTTTTTTCCCAGCAGACAAAGTGGCATCAAGAGTGATTGTTTTTAGCAAGTTATTGCTGCATTCCAGCAGCTTTTAAGACATCAAATGTCAGTGTTTTTAAGGGACCTGTCACTGTTGGTCCGGCGGCTTTTCAGCACCCAAATGAGAGTGTATTTTAATGACCCTTTGCTTTTTTTTAGCAGGGAAACCAAAAGCAGGTGTTTTTTTTTAACAAGTCATTGCTGCATTTCCAGCAGCCTTTCATGCACCAAACATAGGTGTTTATTGCTAACTATGGTTTTTTTCTGTGTTTATCCAGTGGGGATCTTGGAACCCAAAACGATTGTTCTTTTGCAAGTCATTGCTGCCTTTCCAGCGGCTCTTTATGCATGTTTCAAACGGCTTTTCAGCCTCCAAACATGGGATTATTTTGACAAAATGTCAGTTTTTCCAGCAGGGAAAGAGGCTCCAAAAGTAATTGCCTTTTAGCAAGTCATTGCTGCGTTTCCTGCATTTATTTAGACAACAAATGTGGGTGTTTATTAGGAACCTGCCACTGTTTTTCCAGCAGCTTTTCAGACCCAAAACGTGGCTTATTTTAATGACCCATCACTGTTTTTCCATTGGGGATAATATCACAAAAAAACAGTTGTTTATTACTGAGACATTGCTGGGTTTCCTGTTAAGATAGTGGCCAAATGACCAAATGTTGTTTTTTTTTTAATCAACTCCTTGCATTTTCAGCGGCTTTTTAGACACCAATCAAAATGTGGGTGTTTTATTGCAACCTATTGCTCTTTCACTATAGGGATAGTATGACAAAAAAATGTGTTTTTTACTAGGACATTGGGAGTTTCTTGTCAAGACAGTGGCACCAAAAGCGATTTTTTTTTATTTTTTTTTTACCAAGACACTGCTGCTTTTCCACTGAGGACTGTGCCCTCAAAACCAGGTATTTTAAATCATGATCTTTTCCTTACCCTATACAAGTGGTTTTTGAGCCTAAACCTAACCATACATCAACCACATTGTTGAAATGTAAAGTTTCAATGTATCTGCAACATAATAGTATTTAAATGTAACTTATCCATGGTTTGTAGAAATGTAGAATGCCAACATTTTTTTGGGCCATTTCATTGTTTTTCCCCTCTGTATTCAGTCATTGTGGCTTTTTTTCCCAACCTGGCCGCCATATTTAACAACTAAGACAATATGCAGAGCAGAAACAGTCTGCAGGCTGGTTAAGATATTTAGAATGAAACAATAACAGAGAACCAGAAGCCACAAAAGGTAAGAAAAAGACAGAAGGAATTAAAGTGAACGATAAAAGGAAAGAATGAGACCAAACTGGAAAAAAAGACATGGCACGAGTATTTAGTCTGAGAGAGAAAGAAAACTACACCTGGTTTAGCCTCGCACTATAAAGGCTTTATTAACTGAGAGCAGAGGCCGTGCTGACGGACAGCCTCAGCTGCTCTGTGCTGCCTAATCCACAGCGAGAGGTAGTGAAAGGTGATCAAACATCTCCCTCAGCCCCTGCACACCATCCAGCCAGAAAAGGTTACTGCACTGCTCACAGCACAGGGGCATGAGTGATCGGACAGCTCATCTACAGCGACTCATACACAAACCGGTCAAGCCCTACACTACGCTCTTATTTCAACAGAGCATCAAAAATTCATAAAATAATCTATGTCACAGAAATTAAATAAAACAAGAGAATCAAAACCAGAGGCAGCCACAGCGCCAACAGGCCTGCAGTCTGAAGGGGTGTGATTAAAGTTTAACTAGGAACAGATTCATAGTAGGTCTGACAAGCTGTGCCACCTCCTGCCGAGGTCTGACTTTTTGCTGGACAACAGATTAATCTGATACAAAACAACAGCATAGTTGCACAAGTTCTGCAAAGTCTAGGTAAGCCGTATAATATAGCTCTGAGCGATACTTTGATTATCAACCATTTGTTCAGCATTAGCGCCCTAACACACATGGCATCATTGCAACCTCATTACAACTGCAGAGAAAGTTCCAAGATGCTGGATTACATTCAGGGGTGCATGCTTGTTATTTCTTCTTACCTTCAAAGGAGAGGAAGACTCTTGGCAGCGGCTGTGGGAGGCTGGAGACCCCCGTGGAGACGAGAGAGAGAGCCAGGAGCGCCATAGCTAACACCAGAGGTGGCCTGGCCAACCCCTCCGGCCTGCCCATGACTGCACCGCTCAGGAACCCCGACCAGTCACCAGTGCCTGTTGGAGGTGTTTGAAAGAGAAAATAAAAAGACTGAGTTTTCTTTTTACTTTTGGATATCTGTAATATGATGTATGCTGCATGCTGCTCCTCTGATGGTCCCCAGTTCATGCAACACATTCTCACTCTGACCTCGTCACATATCGACGTTTTGGTCATGGACTTTCCACGTACAGATATGACATGAAAGGTACCCTGGGTGCGTTGGTTGTTGACGCTCTGGGTTGATGCATTGTCTTCTTTCAAAATATACTTTTGTTTTCACAGGAAATTTACATACAGTCTCTTTAAAAATAAACGCGATACGTTGGTAAAACACAGTGAAGTGATGTTTTTTTGCCTTCAACAACAAATGCACGTGGTTGGGTTACGGAAACAAAAACATTTGGTTAGGTTTAGGAAAAAAGAACTGGGCTTGGCTTTATAATCTTATGGGATGCGAACACTGCTCTCCCAGGTGAAGGTCAGTGTTTGTTGGATCCATCCACCACCCCTACCACTGGCCCTACTCAGATTTTCGTTGCCTTAATTTTTGTTCGTGTCCTGCTGCGTTTCCCCCTGATGCCACCGAGCGCAATTAAACTGTAACGGAAACCAGCCATGTATCATGCCAACGTTTAAGGACGGCTTTTTCAGCAGTGTCTGACGCCACAAGTCACTGCCCAAGTGCCGGATTTCAGAATCTTCAGAGTGATATGGGGTTGGTTCATGAGCTTTTAACCGTATTGTGAAAAAAATTGATGTGTTTATCATCCCAGTAAAGATTCAAGTTGCTCTACAAGTATACTGAATTAGTTGTTGCTTTATATTAAAAAGTAATTTTGTCCCAGACTTATTGCTACACCAGTGCATTCCCAAAAACCATTAAAATATAGCTTTACCTTTGTTATCAGAGTTAATGCTAATAACTTTTCTAACTAATCTAGGTCACTATGTGGACAACAACTAACGGTTACCACCTTATACCATAATACAAATTACATCTGAGCAGAAATTAATATGCAACCAAAGGTTTACTTTCATCTGCCATTTTTCTATGTAACATGACGTCACAATTTTCACCAACTTTCCGAGTTCTGAGTTAAGGGGGCGTTCATGTGAATTTTCCCAGTGGAAAAATTCTGTTTATTTTGACACCACATAACCACAGTGTAAGAAACAAAAACATAACTAATTTGAGTTTTTGTGCTTTTGTCTTTTCAGCCATCTTAGCTATCACTGCTAAAGCTAACTAGCTACTTTAGTTATTTACAACAAACTTTTACTACTTGAAATGTAAAACATATCATTGCTTGTTTATCAAAAACAGGTTTTCTGAAAGAAACCTACCTGAAAAGTGCCTCAAAACATGTAAAAGTTAAAATTTGCGGTATTTGTGTTGAATTGTTTTTAGCTAGCTGACACAGAGTTACTATTTGATTAACATTTAGCAGGGCCACACCACCTGTTGAAATATAGCCATTTATAAACAGCATTAACTGACCTTTTTGTTCACTTGGGGGCAGTGGAACAAACTGTATTGCTATGACATATCAACACCTAAGCTGATATGGCTAAAGCGTTAGCAAACAGCCAGCAGATACGGAGCAACATTAGCTTTCATTTGGAGCGGTGTTTCTTAACACCTGGTGCATTTAAGTCCACCACTTGTGCTTCTTTTAGCTCTAGTGTGGTCTCTATTATTTACTGAGGAAAATAAGTGGCTTTTTAGAAGCTAAATGCTCCACTCTGCTCACAAGCTAATAATAGTCGCTAACTAGCTATAGCAACATTGTGGCTAAAAAGCTCCATAAAGCTAAGAAATGGGTTTTATTTTTCTGTGGGCTTGTTACACAATTAACATTTTTATACATTTGATGCATTATTGATGTAAAAATATCAAATGATTATATTCTAAACATCTAAAAATCCACTTTTTAATGAAATTTAGCCCATTAAATGTCGAGGATTTGAAGATTTCAGATTGGCTCTAATCAGTGGCGTTATCAGCAAAGCCTGAAGGGTGAAAGTGACAAACAACTTTTTTTTTTTTTTTACTGTGATTGGTTTAATTTTAAACCAAGAAATACATATGGCAATAAAAAATGATTAAATATATTATATGATTGTATAAGAGTTCTGCAAACTTGCTTCTCTGTGTCTATTGATCTGTGAATCACTAAATCAGTGCTTGCCAGGATGCAGTCGACTGTAGTTTCAAAACAACAGTGTCTCTGATCTTCATCACCTAATACAACACTATCCGTTGCTATGAGGGTAATTCATATTGCAAGAGAGCAGCAGAATACACATGAGCAATATTTACAGTTAAATCATCAGTCTGACAGATCCAGAAATGCCGACTTACAAAACTGAAGCGCCGCCCAAACAACACTGAATGAAGACACAGATAAGAGCATATGTCAGTTAAATCCCGTCACTTACTATATCCTTGCAGATGTGCGTCTCTTAAATATAGATGAGTTAAATCTGCACAAAAGAGCTGCCGGAGAAACGCTCCTCTCAGCCTCCTCTTGTTCCTCTCCTAACAGGACAAGAGCAGCTCAATTATTGATAGAGGCAGGTACTGTACTGCCTGCGGGACACTCACTCCTGCAATGCAAAACTCCACTGCTGGAGAAAGACTCGGCCGTTTTAACCACCCAAAACGGCTGTTACACTACCTGTGTCCACAAAACACGCCACACTGGATAAAGAGAGCGTCCCTTTTACATTCAAAAAGAAAACACAAGCGGGGTGGACCCCTGCTCTCATGGCTTATAGATGCGCTCTGAAAAATTGATGGCCAGGAGACAGAAAAGCTGCATGATTGCTATGAAAATTTCAGTTTGGCATGTAGTGTACAAATAGGTTGAGATATGGGTGTGTGTGGTGGAGTGAAGCATGACTGATTTGTGGCAGAGGCAGAATTGTACAGTTCAGGTGCATGAGGACAACAGATGGAAAACTGCAGAGGAATGAGATTTGGCTCAGCCGGAGAGACATAAAACTGCACGGGGCTTGTCAAGGGGGCCCCGGCCGCTGCACTGCAGCCTCTTCTGCTGCTGCATCATCCACACACACCCTCCCCTAGAGCCTGCTTCACCTCAGGCGTCTGAGTCTCCTATGAGTTTAGCCTCCAGGTGGATGAATCTGACCCTGTCCTGAGACTTAGCCATGTATTGCTCTCAAATGGTTGTTTCACCCACATTACAAAAAATAATCTCCAACCTATAGTGGTATGTTAAGCATGCAAATAGTTTTGGTTTCACCCTAATTCAAAACAGGTAAATAAGACTGATGGTGTTTTTAAGTAATTTTAAACAAATAAAAGTCAAGTGCCAAGTCTCAGCAAGACTTTCAAGTCTCAAGAATGTCGACCATGAAAACTGCATTTTCCTTTAAAGCTCCGTCAATAGCTGAGGCAAGGTTCTTTGAATACATAACTTAATTTTCAAGGTATGTGGCCATGTGAGACCCCCAGGACTCAGAACTTAACCAAGTCATAGCTTGACTTTTTTGTTTTTAGGTCTCGCAGCATCCAAGTCCAAGTCTTCAGTCCTCCTTTTTGTGATTCAGGTCAAGGTTTTAAATGTGCAGCTTTGAGAATAGAAAGAACTTCTTTGGTGCAAAGTAGTGCCAACATAAACCACTGATGTCTGTGGATTATCCACAGTAATGCGGATACTTACAGATTCTTGACAAGACATTTTCTCAGCCCGTTCTCAAACCTGAAGGTTTTGTCACCCTAGGCGTCAAAGGCAGCCTTTAGCATCTTAATGAGACGCACCAAGCCTTTCAGCTAACACCAGTGTAAACCCATCCACAGCAATACCAGCCCATTCTCATTTTGAAGTTTTTATGAAGTGTTATGATACATCGCCAGTTGGCCAGACAGCACCTGACGCAGCTGTATGATATGTGGATGGGCCGTGTCAGTTCATAATGCACCTATCGCGGAGGTATGATACCCCACAGGACAGCTTCATCTTGAAATGCTGCTGGTAACGATGTAATAGAAGAACCTGGAACGTCCATGTAGGGTGGGTAGGAGTGGTGGTGGATGGGTCAAACAAACCCTGGACTACTACCTGGGAGCCTGGTGTTAGCTTCCTGTATGAATGTAGAGCCAAACCATGATGTCTTCTCCTAAACCCAACCATGTGCTTTTGTTGACTTCCCGGGGGCGGTTGTGGCATCCTGGAACTTCAACGCCAGACACAGGAGGATATCTAAGGCGTAATATGTAGACATGAAAGTCCACCGACGAAGCAGCCATATGTGACAACTTAGGATGAGAATGTCTTGGCAATACTTGACGCTGAGAGCTACTGATGTAGTATAAAGAAAAGAGCAGAGGAGGACTTTCACCCAGGAGACTGTAGTTTGTGTCCCGTGAGAAACCACAAGTCAGTGTTGTTTTGGCATAACGTTACGTAACATAGGCAAGTTTGTTGCACACTGATCTCACTCATGTGACGTTACCTTACATAACAAACATACTTATTTCAACCCAAAACATGATGTGACCCTAACCCAACCCTAAACCTAACCCTCAGATGTCTAAACCTAACTTAGCTACACTAAAGATACCCCTGTGCATCGCTATCAGACGCAGAAGGGCGTGACAAAGCATCAGTGCTAATTGGTGACCTGAGAATAGGAACAGGTTGAAAACATGTAATGTTTAAAAGCTTTGAGAACGACAAACAAAACTCAACTTGTATTTGGGCGAGGGCAGAAATGTTAGACAACAATGTACCAAAACCTGAGGGGAAAAAAAACGAATACCAAGTCAAGTATTCCAGAAATTGTTTTCACATTTTCAATTCCCCATGCCATGATTTATGTCCAATAGCATTGTTCAGCGCCAACGCAGTGAGCAGTGTGCCTTTCATGTGACGAGACCGAAAGTAAGGGTGTGGAGCTCAGGGAGTTTGCACCCACTCACAGACCATTTAGCACTTTCCTTTTATTAGCTTTAACCACATTGTTTCCATAACGTTAACCACGTGTTTTTGTTGTCTGAACTTAACCTTACAACCTCAGTTTATTACCACGATATTTCCTTGACCTGGACCATACTGTAGCTGCCATGTGCAGAAATGGAGGAAAGTGAGAATTTTAAAAAGCATTTGAAATAAAGATAATTTGGGGTTTTAAGGAATCGTCCAGTACTGGAAGTTTCGTCTGGTGTTCGGGTTGAGTTACCACCAAGTGAGAATAATTATTTTTGTTGTAATTTAAGTGAATCGACCCTTTAAACTATTGAACACCCACAGTGACCCCTCCCTGCACGCTCACTGAGATGGGTGATCTCCCGGGGTGAGGCTCTGGCGTGGAAGCGTTGGCCTCACAGCTGCTAAACTCATCCTCAAGGGACTTCGGAGTGTCCCATGACATCCCCACCAGCTCAGGTTGATTCACTTCCTTTGCCTCTTCCTTTGATGATCACCACACTGAGGCATGAATGAGCTCACCGCCAGCCTCACTTATACTTGTGGAGCGCCGTAACGCTCGCCTGGATTAATGGGTCTCCCAATAAAACAGCGCATTACTGTTTGTTGCCGAGATCAAGAATAATTCAATTAATTATGTTGAGCTCTGTGGAGTCCAGAAATTCCAGTGCTGAGTGTGCCAGGAATCTCTGCAACGGCAATTAAATGTCCCTACAAAAGGAGGTCAGCGTGAGTGAGTGGAGAGTTATATTTCCAGTGGGGTGTGATGATAATTGTGTTTATTGTGCATTCCTTGGCTGACAGCCTAATGAAATTTCCATCTCACTATTTCACTATTTCTAATATTGATGAAAGCAGAAAACTGCAGAGCTGTAAAAGCAAATATTCTTTTCTTTTTTCCATCTTTCCAAACTGGGTCTGTGATTGTTTGGCTCCCATCTGGTCCCGTTAATGCTTTAAACACATGAACACTGTTTAACTACCAGAAATTGAGGCATAAAGTCCTCCCAGCTGGCTTTACGTTTCATGGATTTAATTATTCAGTATTCTGATCTAATCTTTCCTCGAGTGGAGAACAAGAATTAAAATTGAAATAGTAAACAACTTGCAAAGTGCTCCGTCTGTCCCGGGCTCTAACAGGACGGTGTGTTCATACCACACCCTGTCATTCAGTTGTCAGCGGCTCTATTACAACCACACGTTCCTGCACACACATGACAAGCAGGCGCAGCTAAAATGTGTGTATTTCAAGTATTAAAACTTAAGGAATTTTAATAGAAATAAAGACATGTTAAGCTTAAACCAGGTCAGGAAGCTCTCCTAGTGCAATAAAGTTATACAAATATAAAAAACTTGACCAGATATCCTTTAAAAAAGCACATTTGATCAGTTTAAGGGTGATACAGCAACTGCAACGGTCTTGACTCATGCTGGAAATTTGCAGCACACCCAGAGCATGTGAGGGAAATAAAGCATGCCACAGTCTGATGTAATAAAACTCAGTATTTAAAAAGAAGCAGCAAGTAAATTTAGTTAAATTTGGCACTCTGCAACAGTCAGATTGTCTTAACTTCCAGCTATTCTCCCTGGTGGGACCCTGCACCTGTTAGCCTTCTCTCTGCATCCATTGTGTGATCCACTCCACCACAGTACGGTGCAGTACAGCAGGTAGACCCCTCTACCTTCACAGACAGGATCCAGATCAGTCCCTGAACTCACCTTACAGGAGCTTCCTCCAGTTCTGTCCCCACTTGAAAAACACAGATGTGATTTATCCCCCTTCAAAAAAAAGCACCTTGTTCCCAGTTTTCCACCAGTGACACCAGAGAGGAAAAATGCTGCTATTCCATCTAAGTGCTCACAGAGCAGGCTTGACTGAGAGAGGAGAGGAGAGAGGGAGGAGAGCGAAAAGACAGAGAGAGGGCTGGTGTCCTATTACACACTCTCCACTGAAGTCCCCCTCCCCCTTCCCCTCCTCCTCCTCCTCCTCCTCCTCCTCCTCCTCCTCCTGCCTTCCTCTTCCCCACCCCTCTCGTCCTCACTCTTCCCCCTTCCCTCCTTCTGTTAACTAGACAGCAAACTTTAGCATGAGCAGCTCCACACATCAGAGGCTTGAACCTCACACTGAGAGGGTGACACTGGGAAAGGTCAGACACATTCAGGACTGGAGCTAATTTAATCTTGGGATGTTCACATAGCCGTTACCAAAAGATAATAAATTGGCCCTCCATGATGTGAACTGAAGCAGACTTTTTCCATTTGTTTCTATTTTCATCTGCACAAGTATAATCAGTGTTTCCAAAATAATGAATCAGCTTGTCAGTATTTGCTGGAACCATTTTGCTGTGTATATGGCTCTGCAGCAGACAAATATGTCTTTTCTGTTTTGTCACGTATGATGTCACAGACAGGCCAATAACAGGTTAGTAGACAGTAGAAAGCAGCGTGGAGGCCAGTGAAATTATTACAATGGTTATCATACTTTTTTTATATCTTGTACTTATGATTTTGAAATTTGGATATATGTTGGAGTGCTGCTTGGATAGAGACAGATGTTATATTGTGGTGGCCGTTTTTGCATTGCACCAGAAAAGGGGCAAATATGAACACATCCACCCGGGTGTTGTATTTCCATTACTGCCGATCAAAGCTGGAACTGATAAATACCTGTGACAGAGTCATTTGTCCTGGGAGTGAATGCTGATTGTGACCTTTCCCATGAAACACAAAAGCCTGATGTTAATGAGTGTTAGTGATTTTTTCTGCATTGGGAAAGGGACTTGAGGCACAGTGGTGCTTTAAGCTAAATGCTAACCTTAGCATGCTAACATGCTCAAAATGACAAATCCAACATGCTGATGTTTAGCAGGTATGTTTACCATATTTAGAGGGAGTAAGAGGGTAACTCCTCCAATTTTAAACATCAGAGTGTGTTTACAGGTGTAGAGTAGTAGGTCTACATGAAAAAAGTTGTATAAAGCGTATAGTGGCACAAGATGGAGCCGTGAATGCATAGAGAGAACTGGTTACAGCGTCAGAGGCAGGCCTGTTCATTCCTATGAGGCTGCTCAGTGACACGTAAAACCAAAAAGTACGACTTTCCACAGACTTAGGCTGAGTGGCTAACTTCTGGTTTAGCACTCCGCTAATTCAAATGGGGATAAAATCATCAAACTTTGCAGCTCCTCTACACTTTAGAAATGTTATTGGACTGAATGGATCAAATCCTGATAGCAAGTTACTGCTCGTCACTAGGCTAATTTATACAATGTAAAATGCCATAGGCTTGTGCTATTAACGTTAGTTTGTTATATTTGTTTGGAAAACACGTTTAGTATAAGACAGTTGTTTTGTCAGTGAACCTTGTGAGCTGTAATGGAGCTGAATTTTGTAATGTTACCTCTGTTAAATGTTGCTGTTGTCCCTGGCTTCATATGAGTAGAGGAAAAGTCCGCTAGCCACTAGGCTAATTTATACAATGTAAAATGCCATAGGCTTGTGCTAAAAACATTAGCATGTTGTATTTGTTTGGAAAATGTGTTCAGTATAAGACAGTTGTTTTGTCAGTGAATCTTGTCAGTTGTATTGGAGCTGAATTTTGTAATGTTACCTTTGCTAAATGTTGCTGTTGTCCCTGGCTTCATTTGAGTAGAGGAAAGGTCCGCTAGCTGCTAGGCTAATTTATACAATGTAAAATGCCATAGGCAAAAACAAACATTGGCATGTTGTATTTGTGGGGAAAATGTGTCCAGATAAAGACAAGTGTTTGTCTGTGAATGCTGTGAGTTATAGTGAAGCTGATTTGTGTACTTGTGTTTGAAACTGTCTCTATTAAGCCATGTTTAATGTGTGTTTAATGTGTGTTTTGAATCAACTAAATTTTACAACACTTCACAGAAACCACTGCCACCTATTGTTTTGGAGGTGTAACTGCAGAGAGACACAGACACCACCACCACACAAGCATAAATGCTCACAACGGCATAGGCTACGTGCGTAGGCAGTGCATAGAGCTGATGCACAAGTATAAATCCTGCTTTAGGCTGATAGGAATACCATACATTTTCACCATAAATATATGTACACAGTTTGATGGCACTCCCCCCAGTAGTTGTCTCAGTCTGGACTGAGAGGTGGTCCTGTCAACAGGCTGAGCTATCATGGCTAAAAATGGTAGAATTATTCATTTTTCCTTTGCTGATGCATTCTTTCTTAAACTGCCCTCAGCATCCAGTACAGCCAATGTCCTGCTCTGAGTAATCTTGCCACAGAAGTGATGAATTTCATCATCATAATAAATAGTGAAGTAAAGTAATAACAGAGGACATTCTTCATCCGATGTGGTCAGCCGTAAAAAAAGATGAGGACATGCTTTTGGTGAGAGAAGCACGCTCTGTTTCAAACCAGGAGCACGCAAAACCCCGACTCCTACAGAAAAAGAACACTTTAAATGGGCTCACTGGGGAAAGCTTGCTCAGCACGGGGATCTAAAAACGCTATACAGCGGGCCTCAACCATGCCAAACGCTGCATCAACACAAACTCTTATCCCAGTGCAGATTTGTAGCTTCAACTGAGGCCCAAACCAGAGGAGCCAGGAGTCTAGAAAAACTTGGACGTGTTATCCACTAGCAACATGCATCTGATTTAACAATTTCCATGCTGAGCTCCAGAGAGGGAAACTAGGCTCTGTTTGCATTTTCATGAATGGATGCATTTGTGTTACTGCTGAGCCGAGTGTCACATGTCACTTCACAGCAGGTATGAGCCAGGATGCGAGGGATTTTACACTTTAAGGTAGAATTAGAGCTTATTGCTAAAAATCACAGCTCAGGAAAGAAAGGAAAGGGAGCGTGTGAGGCAGGTCTGTGATGAAAGGGTGTGACAGACAGAGAAAGTAAAATGGGGGAGGATAGGGGGTGATCTCTGGTGGTTGAGACAGGAGGAAATAATTACCCTTCTCCCTGACAATGGAGCCTGATTTATGCCTCACCAATTAAAGTGTCAGGATGGCCCACTAGAGTGATGCAGGCTTTTCATTGGGCCCGACTGCACGCTCATCATTGGTGGAGAACAAGAAGAATGGAAAGAGGTGGGTGAGAGTGAAAAAGTGATGAGGCGTATCCTTTACTATCCCCACGACAAAGCTTCAGCAGTAAATTAACTAAATGAGTGTGATGAGCCACAGCGAGTGCAACTGGGTGACAAACACGTAAGTGTAACGTCTGACAGGAGCCATTATTATAGGGAGGTACGTCTTACAGTAAGTGACTGTAAATCATCAAAAAAGAGCTGCGTGGCAAAATGGTTTATTCCCAAAATGATGATGTTAGTCTCCACAACTACAGTCCGGTCACGCAACATCTGTTACACAACTTGCAGGTGGCAGGGCTTATGGCGTTGGCGGGTGCTGCGCATGCAATGCTCCTCTGATCTCCTGGCCATGCACACACCCTTTGAACAACCTGTCCCTTGTTAGCGCCGCAGATGTTACGCATTTGTCACACCGACGTTAAATGTGCAGGCCAAGGTCGGGGGAGGCCCTCCTGTGATGCTCGCTGTATCATATGCACATGTACACACTTGATAAGATCACAGGCTCAACTGTAGCATGCTAATGCACTATCACCACTGCTGTAAGGTTTCATTAGGGGTCACACACGGTTGTATGGTTTTGCCATTTCCTGTGGACCTGCGACTGTGAGAAACATGATCGGCTGTACACAGGAAATCCATTTATTTCCTTTAAAGCTTACTAGGAGAGCTCACAAATTTGTTAACCAAGAGAAGTGTTCTTGTTTGCACGTTTCTAAGCTTCCCATTTCATTTTTCTAAATAGCTGCCCAAGAGAAAATGATCACAGGTATTTGAAGCTTTGTAAGGATCCAATTTCTGATTATTTTAATCATTAATTAAAGTGGAAATAGACAAGAACAACATAGTCAACATAAGTACTCTGCAGCTATCCTCAGTAGTGAAAGTGCTGGACGGTGAAACAACCTGAGAAATTATGGAAAACAAAATGTGTGACCCACCAAACAAATGTTGCTGGTAGCTGCTAAGCTCTGCTGAAAACAAAAAGGAATCCAGTTGTCTTTGAGACAGCAGTGCCAACAATAATACCACTTAGAGAGCTGAAGCTGAAAAATTGTCTGTTTCTAATTTAATCTGGTTGCTATTTTCTAATTTAGAAAATAACAAACAAATCACAAGAGCCCAGAGCACAAGGTGATGTCCTCATTAGGCCCAGATTGGACAGAGTTGTTTCACAGGTTGCAAAATTAACCCCTATTGTACTGTGAAGTAAAGTCACAGCTCTGTACCTTAAAATCTGTATGAAAATGGACAGGTGGAGGGCATTTGGGGACTAGACATGGGAAACAGGGATGCGTGTGGGTACATGAGACCCTCAGAAAGAGGAGAAATCTCAGGGAGTACCCCCAGCTGGTCCAGGAGCTTCGCCTGCATGATGGTCGGTTTAAGGATTATTTTAAGATGAGTTGTGGATAGATTGACAATCTACTGTCAGTCATTGGGCCCTAGGTTGGTAAAACATAGTTGCCTTTTCATCAATCTGACAGGACAATGGGAAAAATGCCAGTGATGTTAAGCAGTTTTCTACTCTTAGTTGAAGTTTTTTCAACTCAAGGTATTGAGAGCGCTCCTGCAGAAACAGAGGCGCTCAACAACACAAAAGCAGCAAGCAAAACCCTTCACTCTCATTGAAGATCGGATGCGCTCCGTCTGATCGAGGCCTTTGAATGACCAAAAAAAACCCCAGAAAAATAGGGCTGCATCCAGTTGACCAACTCGGTTGCGACTCGGGATGAATGATGCCCCAGAATCGGGCCAAAGACATTGGCATGATTCTGGCTGCTGACACTGCCATTACTGGGATGTTATCAACAATGATC